TTGTAAAATCTATTTGTAATTATTAATGTGGGAAGGTAACGGAAATAAGTTTAAAGTGAAGGTGGAGGTATAAGTCTACTTTTCTGCAAAACCCTCCCATTGAGGTTATGGCATGCATTGCATATAATGGTTGTTTATAATTTAACAATTTTTTTGGGTAATGAAATCAACCAATGTTTAGTTTTGCTGAGTACAAAAATAATCTGCTCATATCAAGTGCATATGCCAATCCAGGATGTTCTTTGCAATGATTGTGATCGAAAGGGCACAGCACGCTTCCGTTGGTTGTATCACAAGTGTGGATATTGTGGATTGTACAACACCCGTGTGATCAAGAGTGAGACAGTAACTTCAGAGTGCTCTACTACACATCAATAAGAGGCTTATCCTCTTTTGCAAAGATGTATAGAGGTTAGTTTGTAAATACTTGTATAGCCAAGTCTTTTTTACGCGTTACTAGGTGGCTATTTCCTTTACAACTGATATACACACATGCAAGTCCTTTTCACTCGGTTTTCTGACTTTTGGGCTCATCGAAAGCATAGAGACGCTGGTAGAAGCTACAGGTCATTGACAAGTTAGAGATGTATAGAATTTTTGCATCTCTATACCATCTTACAAGGAAAAAAATTAACACTACCTTACCTCCTTAAACTGCTCCTTAAACTTTAACCTAAGTGTTAATCGCCCTACTTTAGACAGTGGCACTTTTTGCAATGTTTTGTGTGAACTTGTGCCCTTCTACTCTGCTACTCTTTTTTGGGGCGATGGGAGCAAGGTTACTATAAAAACTGAATCAGGTCTAGAAGAAATCCCAGGGAGTAAAATTGACTGACCTGTCTGTCTAACATGAGCATGGTTGGCTCAGATGCCAAAGAGAGTGTTTTTCTTTTTGTTGTCCAAGTTCAAATCTGCTTGGAAGTTGTAGAAAGATAAATTTCCATGTATTTGGTTAGTTTCGTAGTGATAAATTTGCTTGGATTGATCTGAAAAGGAGATGTATTGGGCAAAGTTTAAAAATCTCTTGCCTCTTAAAAAAAGTATTAAGGAATCTAGGTGACATAACAGACCACCCCTAATTAGGTTTTCTTCCAGGGGGAATTAGGGATCTCTTATCGACCGAGTGAAGGAAATTACATGGTATGGTTTCTTCTAAATGTTTTAGTAATTACTCTTCCAGAAGAATTTAGTCAGTTACATTGGCGTCATTTATTGACTTCATTTAAGAAAGAACATACTGCTTGGGCCAGAAAAGAAGGAAAATACTTGAAACTTTGTTCCGTGTACCATTTTTCTTCATGACGTTCATGATGGTAAATTGATCTTCTTTCCTTGAAATAAAATGGAATTTTCAGCAACCTCCTTCGGCCAGCCATGATAAAATCTCAAGTACTGACTTACTCAGAATGTTTGTGTACACGAAATTTGTACCCCTTTTCTGAAATACCAAATAATTTTCCACCGACACCAAAGTTTGTACCTGCAATTGACAGCCACCAATAATCATGCAAGCGTTACTGTAGCACCACCTTCGTGTTACCATGTGTCATTCCAGCTCTAGAACCCTTTGTTGATTTAAAAGGTACCGGTTGAATTCCACCCGGTCCACCTGATCTGAGGTCAACCAGTTTTTGTCTCCTGTATCGGTGCCAACTGACCCCATTTCTTTGTGGCTGGGAGACACTTCTCGGCTCGTCCTCGGCTCCTGGTCATGCCTACTACACTGGCACAAATGTCGAAGAGGGTTATCTCCCTCTCTTCTGATTATATTTTAAACTGAGTCCACCACATGTATTAGTTTGGTTAATGACTTATATTTTGTTTTAAACCAGAATTCGATTCTGACCGGAGTATTCTCAAAGTAAAATTTTCAATGTATTAAAATAACACGAGTTTATCTTTAATATTATTAAAAGAAGATTACTATAAGTGGTTGATTCAATCGATTAAATTTATTTTTTTTGATAAAAAATTTTAAATTCAAGTCCTGTCAGTGATTATTTATCAATGTATTAAAATAACACGAGTCTACTTTTAATATTATTAAAAGAAGATTACTGATAAGTGGTTGGTTCAATCGGTTAAGTTTATTTTTTTTATGAAGAAATTTTAGGTTCAAGTCCTGTCAGTGATCATTTATTGCAGTTATCTCGAATGTACGACTTGTAGTCATCTATTTTAGATTGTTAGATATAATACATCTTATCATAATATAGGGGATTGAGTAATCTATTTATCTTTAAATTTTTTCTTACAAAAAAAAAAAAAAGATTAGGTTCAAGCAAAGTCTGATAAAATATGAGATTATGAGGTTTTGATATGTAAGATGGTAGATAAAATAGAATAATAATCATTTTGTATTATATTTGATTTGTATTTAAATGAAAGAATAAGATTATAAAAAAGATTAATTATTTTCTTAGTACAAGATGATTTAATCTTCTTAAAGTGAAAAAAATTATTTTTAATTTAAAGGATTGAATTTATGTCTTTTTATATTCTTAAAAATTATATTAATAGTTTAAATTATATAAATTAAAAAAAAATATTTTTAACTAATAAATAAATTATTTTATTACAAGTTTTTCTCATATCAAATATAAAATAAAATAATATTATTTAATATTATATTATTTTATTTTATTAAAATTTTGTGTATCAAACTTATTTCGAGTATATTATATATAAAAAATTCATATTTTTTAAAAGTATCAAATTATCCAATAACTTGTAAGCAAGGTGTTCGTCAAAAGAGAAGATTCTATTCGTATAATCAAAGTTTCAAAACAGTAATATCAGACCAAGTCAAAGATGATGTTAAAGTAATCAAGCTGATGAACAACTTCAACAAACCAGAAATAAGAAGCGGCAGTGGCAACAACAAACCGAAAACAATATTAGCAATATTTGTCGTTTTATTAAATTGATTCCATTAAAAACCCTAAAAATTTAAAGAAAGTGGTCAAATAAATAAATTTTTTATTTATTTTATGATAATAATAACACAAAAAATTCATAAAAAATCAATATTTGATTTAATATGAATATGACCATGCGGAACAAGCATATTAGATTAAAAGTGATATGTGACATATATTAAAAAAAATTTTTACTTATATTAATGTAAGAGTTACTCATTTTTTTTCTTAACTTTGGATCAAAATAATTAAATGTAAGTGTTATGAATTTGCTTTTGATTCGAGAATAAAAAATATATATGTAATTCTTACATTATTGTAAGTGGATCTTTATTCATTAAAAGATAATTGTTTAATATCATTTTAATATATTGTCTAATATCATTTTAATATATACATATATATAAATTTTGCAATTTATTATTACAAATTAAGTTTTATTCATTTAAAACAATTACATCAAATGAGTGACATACAAAAATTTAAAATTACGATTTAATATGATTTTTTTTTTTTTATCTTTCATATAGTTAATCTTAGAGTTATGGGATATAAGATTTAATTTGTTGTTATTGTTATGTTTTTTGCTTCAAAAGTAAAATATAATAATCTCAACTTGTATAAATAAAAAAAAATTTTATGTATGAAATAATATATTCTTATAGTTTTTTTTTTATCAAATAACGAGATAATATATATAAAAATATATAACTTTTGGCTTTAATATTAAAATTTCTTCAACAATGAAAAAAAGTATGATGTTTATATAATTGGAGTTGATATAGATATGTGTCAATAACTACATGTTTGCTAGTAGAATATTAAAATTTTAATTTCAGTTATTAGAGTTTAAGTCATCGTACCAAATGAGGATGTGTCAACTTGTATGATCCCTGCTGAAAATTTTTTCTAACTACAACAGTGGGTTACAAAATGAGAGGCACTGATCTGCATAGATTTTTGCGTAAACAGTTTACCAAAAAAAAAAATACTAATAATGTTCATCAAACTCCTATAAAAAGCAGGTAATTAATACCAAATTCCAAGCTTATTGTGTCACAACTCATTGTCAAATTACTATTTCAAAAGTCATTCCGATTTCAACAAAAAAATTAAAAATTATTATCCAATATATTTACAATTTTTATGTTACTTTCAGCTTCTGTACATAGTAGTTAAAACCGTGACCAATAGTTTTGCCAAGATAAATAATTCTGTGATTCACCTTGATAGAACAGAAAAAGGGTTGAGCCCTCAGCAAGGAAAATCACTACCGAATGGAAAATGATGGAATGATGGGCACAGGGAAAACAAATGCTTACAATTTGTTTCCTGGCCTAACACGAATCTTACAATTTGCCAAACAAATGCTTACAGTGGAATTTGCTGCACATCAAGGAGAGAAAGAGAGGGGCAAAGGCCAAGGCACCCATCACACAACAAAAATGGTCCATGATTTGCTTATAACTGTAGCTGAAGCTAATGCAAATAAGAAATCCATAAAGGCAGCATTCAATTATACATTTGTTGTTTCTTAGAACATTTTTTTAATACTTAAAATTGTAAAAATTTAAATTTTAATAATTAAAATTAAGAGTTCAACGTTTTACCAATCGGTCGTTTGGCTCTTTAAATCATTTGCATTTGTCTATCTCTCCCGGAAATTACAAATGGTGACACAAAACAATAGAAATCTTTCATAAAAGATAAAACAACCAAATCCTCTTTATCTACATAATGGCAAGCTAAGCCAAAAGCTTCTTTTAAATAACCAAAAGAGACAGATAAATAGAATCCGACAAGACATGAGAGAAGGATACCTGTTTTTTCTGTCCCCTAAGCTTCTGGCAATTTCGAGATGTGCATAAACATACATCCCAAAATCTTTACTCCAATCCTCCTTTTTCTCTTCTTGATCATAGTATTTGTCCTGTACAACTAAGCTCTCTCTTAGATTTCCATCTGCTCAATAATTAATCGTCTGATACAATCTACCGAGTTGTTTCACATGACTTGGATCAGCAAAGTGAAGGAAACAACATCATCTCAATAATCTAAAAGACAAATAATCTTGATTGAAATTTATTTCCTGCTTTTCTTATCTTTCCCGGTGCGTAAGAAAGAACCTAAACCGAAGAGGTTTGCTGTTCCTTTAGAGATGTAATGAGGTGGTACGTTCAAGACAGGACTAATTCGAAAACCATTGCCATAAGACTTGCCATGGTTTTTCTTCAAAGGAGGCCTCTGATGAAACTGATAAGCATTACAATTAGAACAGCATGATGATGATGATGATGATGATGATGACTTTGTCATTGAAATGGACAAAAGCTTTTGTGAACTATGCTTGTTACTATCCTTCATCGATGAACGTTTTGGATTTGGAACGGAACCAGTTGAATTGCTTCGCGAAAGAAGTGGTAAGGAGCAAATTATGCTCTTTTTTATATCACAGTTGAGACTGCTACTTCTCTTGAAACCCCAAAAAGACTTGGACTTTGGCTTTTCTTCCAAATCAGAATTCACAAGCATGATCTGCCTGATGCTCTCTTTTTTTGAATCCTCAGCTGTAGATAATTTAGGACATGGAGGAAGCGAAACAACAGCTGGGAGTTGGCATTTATGGACTACTTTTTTCTCTTGAAACCGGACTGGAAGTATCATTCCGTTTGCAAATAACTCATCTGCTGAAGAATATTCTTGCTCAAAGCTGCTGCTACAAATGTTAAACTCGAAGTCAGAACACGACTCCAAAAGCATTGTATTCCTTCGCGATTCATTGAGTTTGATTGGTAGATTATCAGCTTGGCCTAGATCATGCGAAAATGATAACCGTGGACTTGTTTCCGAGCACATAATGGTCTGCTTCACTTTCTCAACGAGGGATCAAACATACAAGCAAAAAAGTGTTTATCAAGAGGATTTTGAAGGAGTTGAAGCAATTCAAGGGTGGGAACACTTAGTGGTCAAGTGAGAAAAAAGAACTCAATTACGGATTCATTGAACGACAAGAAGTCAAAAAAAACGGCACCGAAATTTCAATGATCAGAGACAGAATTTTCTTATTCTCTGCAGAGAAACAGAGGAATCACAGGAAAGCCTGTCTGGGTTAGAGAAAAGACAGAAAAACATGCAAATGAAGGCAAAAGGCTATGACAGAAAAGTGGCGGAGAGGTTTTTCAGAACTTCGAGACTTGCATAGAAGAAGAGACAAGTGAAGGGACAGTTAAGAGAAATGAGAGTTTAACATGAGAAAGCTGTCAAAGGATTATCATCATTCATAGGCAAAGAAGAAGCAGTGAAAAAGGATTTGGAAAAGAATTGTTTAAAAAAAAGAAGACAAAAAATTACCCTTTGAAAGAAACCATAGAGACTGCGCAAATAATGGAACAATGAGAAGAAATTGTGGGCTTAAAAATTGGGATTTATAAACATGGTGATAAAAAACCGTCATTGACATTGCAATTTTCCTTTTTCTCGAGAATTTAAGGGCATCATAGAACTAGTTACTCTCTTGCAAATAAAAAAAAAGAAAGAAAGAAAAGTTAACCTTTCTCGTTGACTTTTTGGGACTACCAACTCAATCATTAATTGTTATAACGCCTTTGAAATAATTAGATATTTAAAATTTAAAAATTGAGAAAAATAAATAATTATCATCAATCTTTTTATTAAGATATGATTGGTCACTTAAAAAAAATTTTTAATAAAATTATAAAAATAAATTTAAATTTTATTAAAAAGACAATTGTTAGTATACGAAAGATATGATTGGATTCGGAAGTCAGTTACGTATGAAAAAATATTAACATTCTCACAGCACCCATAAATTGGTACCAATTAAGCATACGTTATTTTTTATGTTGGATAAAACAATTTCAATTTGAAATTTAATAATAATTCCCTTCATTTTGTTTTTTGAAAATGAAAGTAATTTTATTAAAGTTCATTATTTAGGAATATTAAAAAATCTTTAAGTTAAATAATTATTTAAAAATCTCTACCATCTAAGTAAAATTTAAAATAACTTTTTTCACTTAAGATTTATTATAACATTCCTTAAAATGAAAAAAATATTTTTTGTAGAAGATAATTATTAGTGACTCTCCAATATCTAAGTAAAGTACTAAGAATTATTTCTTTCAGAATATTATTTTTGTTTTATTTTATAATTCCACATTTTTAAACTACATTTGAAAAAAAAAATTTTATGTGCAAACAAATTAATGATGATATAATTACTTAGCAAACTATAATTACAAATGTGAACTTGCGAAACGAGTACAAACAATAATGAATAAATGTATGTTTGTTAATGGGTGTTATGCAAGGTGATGAAATGTAATTTTGAAATGGGTTTTTAAATATAATAGAGGACCCTGACTCCTTAACAGCTAGGCAGAGTTTAAATGTAATTATTTATATTTAAGATTTAATTTATTTTTTTCTTAATTTAATCCCATTATTATCGCAGTTTAAGGACCGTACGACAAACTTAATGAAATAAAATTTCCTAAATATCTCATCTTCTATGTGACATTTGGGAACAAATTACTTTACATAAAATTTTCATATGAATCCTTATAATTTTAGAATAGTTTTAGGTAAAGCTTAGGTCGAGGTTTTATCATTTGAATGATTTTTAGACGATGATTTGGGGTTACATATTGAATTTAGGGTTTGGGTTAGATTCAAGGTCTTGATGCATTTTTAAGATTTAAGGTCTTGTTTGAAGGTTTTGAGATCTTAAGGTTTTAGGGTTTATGGTTTCAAAATTTACGATTTTGAAATTTTAAGGTTTTAAGGGCTTATGGTTTACGGTTTTGAGAATTTATGGTTTATGGTTTTGAGGGTTTAAGGTTTAAGGTTTTAAGTATTTAACGTTTAAGGTTTTGAGTTTTGGAGTTTAAGGTTTAGAGTTTTAGGGTTTTAGATTTTAGGGTTTTGAGGACTTCCAAGATTTCAATTCTTTAAGGTGTCAAAATTTGAACTTTTATGATTTTGAGAGTTTTAGGGTTTCAAAGGTTTTGACGACTTTTAGGGTTTTGAAATTATTTTTCAAAAAAATATGAGCATATCTAAAAATTTTCAAAATTTAGGCAGACTTTTGGAATAAGTTAACTTTTTGTGATTTTCGAAAAATAGTTAAAATATTTTCATGTATTTCTTTTTTCATAAAATTTATTATTATTATTATTATTATCTTTAGTAATTTTTATTATATTATTATTTAATAATTTTCCAACATTTAGATAGAATTATTTATTTATTTTTTGAAAGATAATTTTTATTCCCTTTATCATCTAGGTAAGAAAAATAATCTTTTTTATTATTCTATTTTCATTATCATTTTTATATTTTTTGGTTATTATCTTTCTTTATTTTTCAAATTAAAAAAAAATCAAAAGTTTTGAAATATTTTTCATTTAACTATTGTTGTAATTATTATCTAGTTATTTATTATTTATGAATTTATTTTATTAGGTTTATTTTAAGTTTTAATAAAATTATCAAAAATTTAAATTTTATTTTTCACTATTTATTGTTTTTTATCTTTTTTTTGTTTTCATTTTTATTATTGTTATTATTAAAAACAACAAATATTTGTTTTAGCAAAACTTGAAATTCTATGCATGCATAAATAATAATAATAAAACTAAAAAATAAAAAAAATTAGAAAAAAAAAGAATTACCCGAATCGGACCGATCAATGTGGGTTTAACTAGATTGGCTGGTAGCAATTTGGCCAAACGATTTAGCTGAATCGATTGAGAGTTGGTTGAAAGAGATGGGTTGCTGAGTCGGGCTACATTAATCCTAGGTCACTCAAGTCGCGAGCAGGCATACAAATCCTGAGGGGTCAAAACAATGTCATTTTGGTGCTTGCTTCACCTATATAAAAGCTTAAAAAAAAATTTAGCTCATTTTCTCCTTCTGTTTAAAAAAAAAAACTCTATTTCTCTTTCAAACAAAAGCCAAGAAGCCAGCAACCTCTCCCAAAAATCTGTCATCGTCCACCTTACTGATCGTTGTCTGATCAACGTCAGTGGTCAAAAAAGCCCAAAAAAAACCTTGCTGCTTTTTTTCCCCCTTCTTCCTTATTTTAGCTGCCATTTTTCCTAAAAGTAAACCCACGAGCTTAGATTGAAGGAACGTCATTCAGTTCTCAAACTTTTTTTTATTTTTTTGTTGGTTTTTTTTTTTGTAGTCGACATTAGGTTCCTATTCCTAACGGACTTTTTTTTGTTTGTTTGGTTTTTTTTTTTTATGGCTTGGGATTTTTTTTGGTTCTAGTTGAAAAATTTTTTTGACCATGGCTTTTTGGTTTTAATTTTTTGTAAAATTTTTTGGTGATTTTTTTTTTACAAGGTCATCTTAGTAGACTTTCTAGAAGGGGGTTCTTTTTTTTTTTTTTTTCCTTGGAGCTCTATTTATAAGGCCTAATAGAGGGTTTTTCCCACCTATCCGATGTGATCCACGCTGCCAGGGATGGATGGAAAAAGGTGAAGTGGGGGAGGCAAGGAATAGTGCAGGGTAAGGGTAGTTGATTGCCATGGTGGTTAGGGCTTAGGGTTTGTTGGTGTAGGTTAGTGTTGTGCATGGCACCGTGTCAATCCTATCTCTTTGTTTTTTATTTTTTTATTAATAAAATTAAACAAAATTAAAAATCGGGGCCTAGTCTGGAGAACCGAAACAAAATTCAATATCTATAATTATCCCTCTTTGTGCATTTTTGAAAATTATGAATAAGGCAAAGACAAAGACAACATTTTTGTCTGAAGTCTTTTTTTTATTTTTTGACTTTTTTAATGATTTGAATGGACGTAGATTGAAAAATATAATGATCGAAATTGAACTGTGAGTTTAAAATTAAAGATGATCATGATTGAGACACAAGTTCGAAAATAAAAATAATCGAGATTGAACCGCAAGTCAAAAATAAATATAACTAACACTGAACTACAAGTTAAGAAATGAACGTGATTGGGATTGAACCTTGAGTTGAAGAATAAATATAACTGGGACTAAACCATAAATCGAAGAATAAATATGATTGGAACTAAACCACAAGTCAAGAATAAAGGTGACTGGGACTGAGCCATAAGTGGAAGATAAATATGACTGGGATTGAACTACAAGTTGAAGAATAAATATGCCTGAGATTGAATCGTAAATCGAGAAAGAAAAATGAGTAGGATTAAATCGTAAATAAAAAAATAAAAATAACTAAGATTGAATCACCAGTCGAATAATAAATATGACATTCTGAATCGTAAGTCCAAAAATGAATATGATCGAAACTAAACGTTGAGTCAAAAATAAATATGATTGTGACTAAACCGTGAGTTAGAATAAAAATGATCGAGACTGAGCTACAAGTTGAAGAATAAACATGATCGAGATGAACCATAAGTTGAAGAATAAAGATAATTGTAAATGAATTACAAATCAAAGAATAAAGATGATTGGGAACCGTAAGTTGAAAAATAAAAATGATCGGGATAGAACTGCAAGTCAAAGAATAAAAATGACTGGGATTGAGTTGCAAGTCAGAGAATAAAGATTATTGGGATTAAACCACAAGTCGAGAAATGAAAATGATCGAGATTGAGTCACAAGTCTGGAAATGAAAATTATTAGGATTAAGCTGCAACTCAAGAAATGAAAATGACAGAAACTAAGTCAGAACTGAGCCATAAGTCAAAAAATAAAAATGATCGAAACTGAATTGTGAGTTGAAGAATAAAGATATTAGAGACTGGGCTAAGAGTTAAAGAATAAATAGAACCGGGACTTAGCTACAAGTTAAAAAGTGATTTTGGTGCTCCATAAATTAATAGTTAAGGTTTTTAATA